GGCTTGTCCATATTTGGAAAATTTGTCTATAATTACTAGGAATTTTTGTTTATCTACAAGGAGTGTATCGAGGTGAATAATCTCGAAGGGTTTCGAAGGTGTTTCTGTCAATACAAGAGGTTGGTCTGGTGGATTCCTGTTATACTTAGTTCTTTGACATATTTCACATCCATTAATAAATTTAGTGACGTCAGATTTCAGGGGTTTCCAATAATAATTAATTTTCAGGCGTTTTAGGGTTTCCTGTATTCCTCGATGGTTAGTTTTGCCTTCGTGTGAAAATCTTATTATCATTTCTCTTTCCTCTGGTTTAACATTATTAATGAGTTTTGTGCATTCTACAAGCTTGAAATTACAAAAGTGTTTAGATAATGCTTCTTGAAATAAAACACGTAATTCTTTTGATAAAAAGTGCACATAGGTAGTTTTCTCTGTGAGGTTTTCTTTCAGAAAATTTACTATCGCTTCTTGTTTCGTGGGAATCGTTGCTCGGATTATCCTATTACCGTCAAAGGTTTCAAATTCTCTTTTTATGTAGGCGTCGTATGGTGATTTTTTCACAATTAATTGATTCGTTTTGTTGTTAATTATTTCGTCTAATATTGGGATTTCATTTAGGGTTTCGTCTGCGTTTGTACTATGAGCAGTGTCAGTACTGGACGTATTATCCATTGGTGGTTTAATTCGGATATCTTCAAGAATTTTTATTCGAGAGGTTGAAGGCTCTTGAGAAGTTGAAGGCACTGGAGGTAATTCAACCGGTCGATTAAGTTCGTTTATGATTTTGTTATATTCGTCAGTCTGATGTTTTTCTAGAAGATTTTTATCGATTTCGTTTAGAAATTTATCGATGTCAGTTGTAATATCTCCTGGATTATTAAGGAGAGATTCTGTTTCTAAAGCGTTGAGTGGAATTCTTGAAAGAGTGTCGGCGTTTGTATTTTGTTTGCCGCTTTTATATATAATGGTGTAGTCGTATTCTTCAAGCTTTAATCTCCATCGAATAAGTTTTGAACCTGGCTCTTTAACATTGAAAAGCCAGACTAAAGGTCGGTGATCTGTATATATTTGAAATTTCCTTCCAAATAAATACGGAATAAAGTATTTACATGCCCAGATGATAGCGAGCAATTCTTTTTCAATTGTCGAGTATCTCTGTTCTGTTTCATTTAGCGTGCGGGAAGCATACGCCACGGGATGATCGTTGGGGGGTGTTGATTGAGATAAAACTGCACCGAGAGCTGTATTAGAAGCATCGGTTGTTAATACGAAGGGCTGTGTGAAATCAGGGTATTTAAGGATTGGGGAATTAATTAGAAGATTTTTTAAATGGTTGAATGACGATAAAAATGCTGGGGAATGTTCGACTTTAGCATTTTTCTTAAGACATAATGTCATTGGCTTGGCAATTTTAGCAAAATCCTTTATAAATCTTCTATAGTATCCAGCTAGTCCTAAAAATGATTTGATATCTTTTGGTGTTTTGGGTATAGGAAAGTTTTTTACAGCTTCTATCTTATCTGGGTTGGGTTTCACGCCTTCTTTGGTTATTAAATGTCCAAGGTAATTGACTTCTTTGTGTAAAAATTCGGACTTATCCAATTGAATCTTGAAATTTGATTGTCTGAACCGTTCAAATATTAGTCTCAAGCGTTCTATGTGCTCTTGGAGTGATTTACTGTATATTATGACGTCATCCAAGTAAACGCAACATATTTCGTTCTGGAGGCCACGAAGAACGTTGTTCATCACCCTCTGGAACGAGGCGGGGGCGTTTCGTAAACCGAAGGGCATACGTTTGAACTCGTAATGTCCTGTGTCGGTGGAAAATGCTGTTTTGTGTACGTCTTCCGGTTCCATCTCTATTTGGTGGAAACCATTTGCTAGGTCCAACGTCGTAAAGTACTGAGCTTTACCTAGTCTATCTAAAATATCAGAGATGTTGGGTAATGGGTACTTGTCTTCGATTGTTTTGTCGTTAAGTTTTCGGTAGTCAATTACTATTCTCCATTTTCTTGTACCAGATGCATCTAGCTTTTTTGGTACTATCCAAATTGGGCTAGACCATGGGGAATTAGATGGTTGTATTATACCATTTTTCAACATCTGGTCCATTTGGGTGCTGACTTCCTTCTTATGAATCTCAGGGTATCGATAAGTCTTTGTAAAAATAGGTGTTTCATTTGTAAGATTGATTTTATGTTTGATTTGATTCGTAAAAGTCAATGGAATACCTTCACAGTAAAATATGTCTCGGTATTCATAACAAAGATCTCGAATCGCTTGATATTCTTCTTGATTACAGTGGTCTAAACGTAAGTTCTTCAAATTTTGTTTTAGTTTCATATCATTTGGTTGATTTACTTCGATATCCATATCGGTTTCCATTTCCTCGATAATATTATTTTCAATTTCGTTTATAGGTTCTACTTCAAATGGTTCTGTGAAACTAATTTTTATTGGGTTTTCACATAAATTCGTAATTGTTGTCAATGCAAAATTACTTTCAATTTGTACCAAGGCTTCTGGCATTTCTGCGATATCATCAAAGTTAATATGGTTTAGTATTCCTATTCCATCTGTTTTGTTTACAGGTACTTTAACCTTCTGTGAAACACGAGGAGGTATAACAGTTTCATATGACTGTGTGGGCTCCGTTGTGTTTTGTGGGAAAAATAATTTGTTTTGAAAATGCAAGGGTAAATTTACTTGTAACGTTTCGAGTGCAAAATTCTTTAGATTTATTTTGGCACCGATATCGATTAGAAAATCGACACCTATCAAACCGTCGAATTTATTAGAGAAATTAAACAAGTAAAATTTGTGGTAACCATTTTTTTTGAATGATGGAAAAATGGGTATATTTATGACTTCGTCATGTATTGATGTTGCATGAGCAGTTTTTACAGTGAAATATTCATTAGAAATGAATTGAGAGTAAACTTGGTATGCTAATTGCGGATTGATGAAACTTTTTCCGCTGCCTGTGTCGACTAAGAACTTAGCATTTAATTCGGGGATAATTATTACAGGCAGATCTGAAGTACTATAGTTGTTGAGGCATATTACGTCACATTGGGGTAATTGGGCGTAATCTGAAAATTTTGGTATTGGGAATCATCGATATTTGTTTCATTATAGTCATTATTAGTGTTGTCATACATGTTGTACATATAATCATATGGAACATTGTATGAGTTGAACATTTCAGAATTTGGCATTTGGTAATAATTACTGAAATCCAATTGTTCGTCATTATTGGGAGTAGAATTAACGTCGATATTTGTGTCTTGAGTTTGAGTTTCGGTGATAGTATTAGGGGACAAAGTATTTGCGGATTGGTTCGAAAGTTCTTGCACAGTGAAATTATTCAGGCGAGATCTTTGAACTGTATTTGGTCTTATAGTGACACCAGACGATGTGTCCATTGGTTCTGGAGCACTATTGTTTTGGGTGATATTGGGTCTTTGGAATGGTCTATTGAAATTATTGAAGTTTTGAGGTCTTTGGAATTGGTTATTGAATGGCATATTTGGGAAAGGTCTTGCAAAGTTTTGGTTGTTAAACGAATTATTTGGTCGATAGAAAGGATTATTAGTGAATGGTGTTATAGGCATTCTTGGAATATTAGCAGCATAATTTCCAAGTGTATTGTTAAAACTTGATTGAGGCTTACTTTTATTATTGACGTTGTTATTAGGTATATTTCTTGAGCTTTGATTAGACCTGTTTCTATATTGTATGAAATTCTCTTCTTCTCATACAAATGCGAGAGCTTGTTCAAGAGAATCTGGGTCTTTTAATCTTACCACCAACTGCATATGGTAATTTAAGTTGTTAATAAAAGTTTTTAGACACAGATTATCAAATTGTTCGATTTTTAGAATTTTCATATTATTAGGATCGTTTGAGCTATTAATTTTAGCAAATAACAAACTTCTAGAATCTTGCAATTTTAATCCAAAAGAATGTAAGGATTCGTTCTTATCTGGTTTCATATTAATGATATCTTGGACAAGACAATCTTCAGTTCTTTGGTCAGAAAATGTGACAATTAACGAATCTTTAATTTTCTGCCAGGTATCGAGTTCCGTGCGAGAAGCAATTAATTCGGCAGCTCTACCTGTCAATTTACAAATTACCGTATCGAACAAACAGATGTTTATTGGATCTGCGGCATTTTGTCGATTTTGGTGATTCTGTAGAAAATGTTCACATGATGTTAAAAATCTGCCAAGTGTTTTGGTGTTACCATCAAAATTTGGAATATTATCGGCTTGGTATCTAATAAGCTGATAATTTGGGTTGGCCATATTAACAAGATTTTGAATCTGATTATTAGTTTGAAAATTATTGTTAAAAATGTTTATAAGATTGTCAAGCTCGTTATCACCTTCCAGATCGAACAAATATATACCAATAAAATCAAAAAATATAAAAATAAAAGGAAAAGAATAATGGGATCACTTACAGCAATATCAGATTGATCTTGAAGTACATGAATTTATCTTCTATGGATTTTGGACGATGTAGTTCCGCTATCCGCACCAATAGGATTAATGGACGATTTTTGTTCCGATCCCTGGTCGCGAGTTCACTGATTGTCAAAAGTCTTTCGTATACCACGAACGTATATTTCGATTTGACGGTAAATCGTTAGCACGAAAAGACGATGGTTTTTTTTACGGCCCGCAAAATCCAAATTTTCGACTGAACCGGACTGTTTTTTACCGAAGTCTCCGTCAAAATCCTACCGACTGCGCCACTTACGAGGGGTGTACACGAGAGAGCGTTTTTAAAAAACTTTATTTGACTAATACAATAGAACTGACTTAAATCTAGAAATTACTCCTTTTATAATATTAAAAATAAGCTGAATAGAACAATATAAATGCTGAATTGAAGTTCTCACGGGATATAACTCAAGTAGGTAACCATTTCGTCAGAAATGATTTTTTGTCAAGTACCTACATTTTATTTATCCTAATTTTTTGTTTCAGATATTATGGACAGCATTATCAGTAGCTTTAGGTCTAGAATTAAGAGGCGAATACATTCGTGGAGTTCCTTGCATAAAGCGCCATCAACAGCTGTTTTGTCCGACTGCTGGAAACTCATATCCTCTGTAAGTATTAGCTGGTACATTTTTACTTACTCAAATTCTTTCTGTTAAATAGTCTAATAGATAATCTTAAGTTCTTACTCAAAATGCAGTCCATTTGCTTTCATGTGGCCCCAAAGAAAACAAATCCAGTAGGATAAGATTGGGGGATCGTGCGGGCTAGTGTAACGGATCTCCTTGCCCAAATATGTTTGAATGTTTTGCATTATTTTTATTTATTTTTTCAAAAACTCCTTTTAACATACTATTCGTTAATATTTATATAACAAAACTATGAAGAGCAATGTCCAAATTTTGCTTGACAACAAATTGCATATTTCATTTGCATATCGTCATAAAATTACTTTTACGTAGTGTAGTAACGACCATTGATGAAGAATATTTCATAAAAACGAAAATACTTGATTCGCATAATCTGGAATGTAGGCGGACTCGATGCAAATGAATACAAATTTACGTGGTCGTAGAATAATCTTGGACAATTTACGATTGCGGCATTTCAATTAAGCTAAAACTAGTAGCAAGAATATCTATCTCCTGACCTGAGAGAACCAGTACCTACTAGTGTGGGTTATGTTATCGGTTTATTAAAGATAACTTGAAGCCGACGCTGATTGGCAGTAAATCATTCATACGAATCGATTGAGCTAATTTATGAGTAGAGTGTGTATATGATTAAGTGCAGAGATAGGTGAAGAAAAAGACCTAACTTTTTCAATATGCTGATTGTTGTAATATAAATGTTTAGCAACCTTCGGAAATAAAGCTTTATTTAACAAAAATTGTACAAAGCTTTTTTGACAATTTAATCTACAAAGATTTATACTGTTAACATTTTCATCCTCCTTTAATTTTGAATATAATTTTCTAAATAGGTACTTTGAAAGTCTTCGAAATCATGTAGGTTTTTTCACTTCTAGACTTATTGATTGCTGATTTTGAATAGATAATGGAATCTCTTCAGTAATATATGACGTTTTTGTTTGTTGCCCAGTTTGAAGTACCTAGTGATCTAAATTCGACTTTTGCAAATGATAACCATCATCATCAAAACTGTCTTTTTTCTTGTAATACTTGAAGATAACCTCTAGAAGCATAATATAAAAATTGTACCAAGTGTATACTCGGTATTAGCTTCTAAAAGTTCGGCTTCTTCTAGTAGTGGTTCATATAATATTGTCTTCGAATAAGAAATGATCCTGGATAAACAAGCTTACCTGCTTGGTAACTATAGCTTTCACAAACAAAGAATTTCTTGGATGACTGAATATCCTCTTATGAAAAGTATAATTAAGGCCGCGTTAATGGCCGCCATATTCAAATTTAGTTTTTGAAAATGACGACTGCGCCACTCTACACATACGGTTCAATATTTTATTTTTTGTCCAAAACAAAATCTGTTTGTCGGTGAATCACTTAGTGAAAGAGAAAGACAAATATACAATTATGATGCTCCCAATGTAGCTTTTTTGCCGTGGCGCCAACTACTTGAAATTGCTTGAACTGTGTTCACCTTCAAAATTCGTTTTAAGGTCATCTCAAAAAATCCGCAATAATTTCCAAAATCCTTTGGCATAAACATTATTTGATATATTATCTACAATCTTTACAATTAGCTTTTTTAGTTTTTCGTGGTTATCAATAAAATATGCTTTTCACGGATCCAAGCTTGATGAACATGCAAATATGCAACCACCAACACATTTAGTTGTTTTGGTGGTTGCGAACATGATTTTTGAATTAAAAAAAAAAGGCTGAATATCGAAAAACCAAAATAAGGAATTGTAGATAATCGGGGATAATACCACGAGAGCTTCAAAATTACCGATAATATTTCACGATTGCGTATTTTCTATAATTTCACGATCACGAGTCCGTAGGACGAGTGAAATTTGCAGAGAAAACACGCATGAGTGAAAAATTATCTGGCTCATTTTAAAGCTCAAGTGGTATTTAGAGGATTATTTCACGTATGAGAATGCAAAAAAATATGGAAATAAATATGTATTAAACGATTTAAACATCTTAACAATCAATACAAATAAATGGTTGCTATCAGGAACCGTTTGTTTGTATCAAAAACTAGCATGATAATCATGTAGGTATACAATAACATGGGAGAATTTTCGCTGTAATTCTCTCTAGTTAAACAAATGGAAAAGAGAATTTTCGCTGTAATTCTGAAAATCGTCACTTGTCTTATGGGATTTCTAACACATGAGTGGAATAATCGATCAAATAATGTTTATGCCAAATTTGAGCCAATTCTGATGTGCCGTTTTTTTAAAGACCTTAAAACAAGTTTCGAAAAATCAACCAAGCACTGCATTCTTATCGTTGTTGCCTTGATAACTGTACAGAGGAGATAGCGAATGGAGTGTAAGAACTTCTGACAGTACTTCTCGCCAATGATGGATATTGAGTCCTCGGGATTTTAAACTAAAAGTAATATTCTTCGAAATAATTCCATCGTAACGTTTTATTTGGCCATTACCTTCAGGATTATGTCAATCCCTAGTTACCCGAGCTGAAGTACTTTTTCCTTCACCTAATTACTTGGAGTGGGAGAAAAGCGGTTGCGAAAAAGAACGATTGCAACCGTATAACAAACGAGGCTAGGGAGTTACACAACCAACAATAAATGCGTCATCGACTGAACTGCCCGAGTGAACCAAGGTTCTTTTGATCCTTTGCCAAGACCATAGGAAATAAATGCATATCTTCTTCCTTTCCACCTTTAATTAAGGACAACAATTCTACTGTAGAATCGTCAAAGGAAAAAGCAGATCTCTTTGCCAAACAATTTAAATCCAATTCCACAATGGAGGACAATGGAGAACGCAACAGGTACTGCTATACATTGGTTCTCACATGGACAACGTTATATTTAGACATAAAACTATTAGGAAAATTCTTCTGTAAGCTGACACTAGAAAATCTTGTGGTCCCGACGGCATTCCACCAATTGTCCTCAAAGCTAGCGCAAGAAAATTTGTTTCAGTCCTTTCCCAATAAACAATTTTCGTTACTTATGGTAACGTCTAATTATATAAAGGGTATATAAGAGGAATGAATAGTGCTTTAAGTATATAAGGGTTTTATAATATCCCCCAACTTCTAGGTATATAACTAGGTGACATAAATATTTCAATTACCAAGTTATAAAACCTAGAGTAACTATTACTAATAGGTATATAATAAAGTTTTATACATTTTGCGGTTACCTTTTAATATTACTTTACATTCCCTAGTTATAAAATGGTGATAATTTTTGCCTTTATAAAAATAGAAGTAATCGACGAGTCTTTCATAAATTTTTGTTGCTTCTGGATATGTAAGGATCCTTTGTATAATTCACAGGGAGTATAATAATAAACAAATTGGGTGAGTGAAATAAATACTAGCAGCCAGCAGCATTATCAAACATCACATCAAGCCAAACAGAAACAATAAACCTGTGCAGTCAACTGAAAAAAGTGAGGTTATTGTTGTCATTTTATGCTGATGCCGGTGCTCCACTGGAGGTATTTTGCGTAATCGTTCAACCCTTATTTACGAATTATTATTGGTCAGAACTCAGAAATGTGGATAAAGCTGTCACGTACCACTTTTAGACCAATTATGTCGGGTGACGCAATTGGGCGAAATACGTCATGGGCAACTGGGAAACCTGCATGCGCGACGTGTAATGATGGTTGTTAACTTATAAGTTATAGTACCTGGAGTAATTTTTGTTATCATTATAAAATTTAAAGTTTTATAAGAACCGTTTATAAAATCAAAAGAAGCTATATAGGGTACCAGAATTTATGTAAAGTGCCTTTAGGTAATATAAAGGTAATTAATTTTTCAAATTAAACTAGTCTTCATTCTGCCATATTTGATTTGCAAAAAAAATGGACGCTGTTTTACAGGTCAACGTGAAATTCAAAAATTTAGGGCAATTAGCTAACAACTTGTGATAAATATGCATAAGAACCTCATATAATTAAATAAGCAACTTTTTTCTCAAGAACTTGTCACCTAAATATTAATATTTTTTCAAATTTTATTTTTAAAATTTATGGCAATACAATCAAATATGGTTCTTTCAAAAAGCGCTCGCATTTTTTGAAGGTATAACATGTATATTTATCAGTAAAAATCGCTTGGCAATGAAAATTCGGACCAGGATCAATGGTTTAACAACACTATTTTTATGTGAATGTGAGACAAGTACTCATCTAGCAGAAGCCATTGGTGCAACATAGGACTTCTTGTCCTCGTGCATTTATTTATCCCTTCATGAGACGGAGGCGCTGGAGGCATCATCATCAAACAAACATAGACATACCAAAAATAATTAAATAGACAAAGACAAAAAGAAACTTGTTACTCCAGGTGTCAACATCATTTAATTTATATTTTTGTAAAGGGTTTATAAGGTTTCTGGAAATATTTAAATAAATACTTCTATAAATCTTACAGTTATATTACGTTACTAACACAGGTGTCGATAACCTTTATAAACTCCGCCATTTAAGTGTTTTAAGGCTTTTATAAGGGTGATGTAAATGTTTCCCACATATTATTATTGAACTATAGGTTATTTAAAGTGGGTGTTATGAAATATACGATTACCAATATATAACTAAACATGTTTATTGGGTTGCAAACTGTTTTCACTCGCCAGAGTGCAGCTAATCCCGAAAAAGGGCAAGAAAATTTTGAAAGTAACGGAGAAAGGCAGAGTCAACCAGCAACTGGTTAAATATCTACCTCGAATTCAATAAACGTATCTCTGACAAACAGTACGACTTTCGTTCTAAAAGATCAATAGGGGATCTGCTGGCATATGCGTCAGTCATAATTGGAGCTTGACTCTCGAAAAACATGGTAAATCCAGAATTGTAGCATTGGACATCTCCAAGGCTTTTGATCAGATGTGACACAAAGGTCTCCTCAGCAAACTTCCATCAATGATCTTCCAAACGAATTTTACCATTGGCTGGGGAGCTTTTTGG